TGGATAGGATAGCTTGTTAACAGATGATGGAAGGTGTACTAGTGAAATTAAATCCAGGATTGCCATGGCAAAAACCGCATTTAGCAAGAAGAAGAATCTTTTTACCAGCAAATTGGACTTAAATTTGAGGAAGAAACTAGTGAAATGCTACATTTGGAGCATAGCTCTGTATGGGGCTGAAACATGGACACTTAGGGCAGTAGATCAGAAACATCTGGAAAGTTTCGAAATGTGGTGTTGGAGAAGGATGGAGAAGATCAGTTGGACCGATTATGTGAGAAATGAAGAAGTGTTAATTAGAGTCAGTGAGCAGAGGAATATCCTACATGAAATAAGAAAACAGAAGGCTAATTGGATTGGTCATGTTTTACGCAGAAACTGCCTTCTAAAAGAAGTTATTGAAGGAAAGATAGAAGGGCGACTAGAAGTGACAAGAAGACGTAAGAAGATGCTGGATGACCTTTGGGACAGAAGAGGATACTGTCATTTGAAGGAGAAAGCTCTAGATCGCATTAAGTGGAGGAATTGTTTTGGAAGAGACTGTGGACCTGTCTTCTGACAGATTACTGATAATGTTGATTTAATTAAAAGTATTTATGAAAGGAGTAAATGAAGGTAAAGAGTGCAGTGTTATCAGTGTTGATAGTGATGTGATAATGGAGTGTATTATTTCTTGAAATTAGAGTGAATGCTCAGTATATTTCCAGTCCTAATATTGATACAAGTTTGGGTCTAGGGCAGGCATGTCAAACTCAACTTGTACAGAGGGCCACCTCAGCCCTATAAATAATAGTCAGGGGCCGCACTTCAAAGTAGAAATATCCATTAGATTTTGATACAAGGAAATTTAATTATTTTTATTATTTAGGAATAATTTCAATATAATTACCTAAAGTCACATATCTTACAGTTTTAAAAAGCAAGAGAATGCCATTTTTGACAAGTATCAAACAGCTTTTCAATATGTAAAAAGAGAGATTACACAAGAAATTATGTTAGAAATAGCAAAACATTGAATTTCCTGCAGCCTGCTAATATATGTCCGCATGAGACTTCTTGTCTTCTGGTCTGTTGGAAAATTGTCCTTACAAA